GAGGGTGTGTGTGACCGGGTGTTTGTCCCTCCCCAGCGCGGGCGTGGGGCGCACGGGCACCTTCATCGTCATCGACGCCATCATCGACATGATGCACGCCGAGCACAGGGTGGATGTCTTTGACTTCGTCTGCAGGATCCGCAACCAGCGGCCACAGATGGTCCAGACTGATGTGAGTGCACTCCAGACACCCGGAATTCCAGATTTTACTGGATTTTCCAGAATTTACAGGGAGGGAAATGCTGCTGTGTTCCCGCTCCTTTGTGCTGGACAATTGGGAAATTTGGGCTTGGAGCAGCCTGGGGTTAGTGGGAGGTGTCCCTGACCTTGGCAGGGGTGGGATGGATGAATTTTAAGGTTCTTTCCAAGCCAAGTAATTCTGGGATTCTCTGCCCCTGGATCCCTGGCAGTGTCCAAGGCCAGGCTGGACATTGGGACTTGGACCAGCCTGGGACAGTGGGAGGTGTTCCTCACCATGGCAGGGATGGGATGGATGATTTTTAAGGTCCCTTCCAACCCAAATCACTCTAGGATTCTCTAATTCAAAAATTCATGAAGCTCAGTGAAGGATGTGGGGTGGGACAGAAGATAAAGCAGAGAAGACCACTGTGAAACACTTGATTTTTAGGAGTCTTTTTAGGAGTCATTTCCAAGCTTTCCCATGCACACGAGAGTCAGAGAATATGAGTGGAAATGTGAGCAAAACAGGAAAACTGTGGTTTAGCATAATTTATTATGATGTTAATAATTAGGAGATTGTCACCAAACAGGGACAAGACAAGGAGCAGTGGTTTTGAAGTTAGATGGGATATTGGGAATTAGGAATTGTTCCCTGTGGGATGGAATTCCCAGAGCAGCTGTGGCTGCCCCTGGATCCCTGGCAGTGCCCAAGGCAAGGCTGGAGCCCCTGGGACAGTGGGAGGTGTCCCTGCCATGGCAGGGGTGGCTCTGGGTGGGATTTAAGGTCCCTTCCAACCCAAACCATTCTGTGATTTTTAAAAAAGTCCTAGAATTCCTCATTTCCCTCCCTTCCTCTTCCTCTCTGTCCCTTCAGATGCAATATTCCTTCATTTACCAAGCCTTACTTGAGTACTACCTCTACGGTGACACGGAGCTGGATGTGTCATCCCTGGAAAAACACCTCCAGACTTCCCAAAATGCAGCCCCAAACCTGGTCAAAATAGGGCTGGAAGAGGAATTTAAAGTAAGTATGGAAATCTCTCCCATAGGATTTCCAAGATGCAAGCCCAGTGGATAAAAGTGTAGCCTTAAAGGTGCATAAAAGGGAAGGAGTTGTTTAATGTGGTGGTTGTTGTGAATGGGGCCTTGCTGAACATCCTGTTCCCTAAATTCAGATTTTAATCTCATTCCCTCATTCAGAGCTGTGTCACTCCCTGGCCTTCCCCCAAATGCCTTTTGTTTGTTTATAAAGAGAAGTGCAGTGATTCTCTGGGTGTGGTGCAGGGTGCCAGATCAGATAATGCTGGAAGAGGAGACTGGATGAGGTGCTCCTACTCTGCATCCCAGTGGGATTGTTAACTCTGAGGTGTCTGACAGCAGGAAATGTACAGGGCTGGAGAAAAACCTCAAAAAAAACCCAAAAAATCTCCTTTCTTATCAGTGGAGAAACCCCAGCTGAAGAAAACCACACTGGCTGCGTGTGATCATTGTTTTAGTTCCCTGAAGGAATAGTTAGATTTTTTTATGATTTTCCTTATGGTAAAATATTTATTTTATATAGTTTTAAAGTATTAATTGACATCTAGGTGTTAAATGGAGTTCTCTCTTTGCTTTAAAGGACTAATTTAACCAGAAATTGGGAACTGGGTAAAGAAAATGATGTAGAAATAAGTTTGATGATAGAGCAACAAGTTCCAAAATCAGCAGTGTTGAGGGAAGGAAGATTAGGTGGGATACTGGGAAGGAATTTTTGGCTGTTGAGGGTGGGCAGGCCCTGGCACAGGGATCCCTGGAGGTGTCCAAGGCCAGCCTGGCACAGTGGGAGCTGTCCCTGCCATGGCACTGGATGGGATTTAAAGCCCTTTCCCACCCAACCTATTCTGGGATTCTGTGAAGTTTTTCCTTCTCAGTTTCCATAGCCAGGGCAGTGCAGTGGCTGCAGCTCCCTGTGAGCCTGGCAGGGATTTTTACCCCACAAAGGCTCTGCAGGATGTGCTGGCCCCACTCCTGCCCTGCCCTCACCCCTGTGCTCTCTGCAGAAGCTGACCAACGTGCGCATCATGAAGGAGAACATGAGGACCGGCAACCTCCCAGCCAACATGAAGAAAGCCAGAGTCATCCAGATCATCCCCTGTAAGAGCCCAGCTCCTCCTCCTCCCCAGGGAAGTGCCAGCAGTCCCTGGCAGAGCACAGCTCCCCTTACAGACTGTCCTCTCTAAAAAATCCAGTGAATTGGTTGTACTGAATCACCCTAAAATCTGTTACAGTCAGGGATTCGGAATTAAATAACTCGGCAGTTTCACCTGTTAAACCACCCCTTTCCTGTGTGGTTCCACACACAGTGTTCCATTTCATGTTTTTATCTGAAAATGAACATTTCACAGAAAAGATTGGGTGGGGTTTGTTCTTCCATGGGCAGTTGGCAAAAGTGAGACTGGACTCAAAATTTTAAGACTAGAGTTTTTTATTGGACTCAGAATTAAGCCCAGACTTTTTTATTGGACTCAAAACTAAGCCCAGACTTTTTTTACTGGACTCAAAATTAATCCCAGACTTTTTTTACTGGACTCAAAATTAATCCCAGACTTTTTTATTGGACTCAAAATAAGGCCCAGACTTTTTTTTCTGGACTCAAAACTAAGCCCAGCCTTTTTTTTTCCAGATGATTTTAACAGAGTGATTCTGTCCATGAAAAGAGGGCAGGAGTACACAGATTACATCAATGCTTCCTTCATAGATGTAAGTATACAACATTTTCATGCCTTTCCTTTCCAAATCCAAGATTTTGCTGCTGACAGGTCTTTTTAAAGAGGCACAATCAGCTTGGCTTGCAAAGAACATGAGCTTTGTTTGTGGGAGTTTCCAAATGCATTTCTTATCTGGTGTTTTTAATTTCAGCTTAAATGGTTGTGCAATTTAAACCTTGATGTTAGATTTATAAACTAAACCATTTATTCAATTCTGACCAAACAAATCAGCTGCACAATTATAGCCAGTGATTGCACTATCTGGGTCAGGTTAACAGGTGTAAATATTTGTTTTTGTGAGAAACAGAGAAGTCAGTGTTGAGCACAGGGAAAGCTGTGACACTGTCTGGCAGCCAGGCTTTACTTGGGCAGAGCTGGATGAATTCCAGGCTTTCTTCCCAGCTTCCTGTTGGAAGCTGAGCATGGGATTGTGCCTTGTTTTTGTTGAAATGTGAGAATTAATCATGTCCTTAAGCAGTGAAACCACGTTAGTGACTGAGGGCTGTGGGTTCCACACAGATCCCACCTGCATGGGAATAAGGAGGGGATGGATGTGGCCTCAGAGCCTTGGGGTTGGGTCACAGGTTGGACTTGATGGTCTCAGAGGTGTTTTCCAACCTCATTGATGCTGTGAAATTAAACTGGAGCCCAAAACTTGAGGCAGAAATTCATTCTGGAGGAAAGCTGGGAGCTGCTGTGTGACGGTGTTCACAGGGGTCTGAGGATGAGGGAAGAGACAAGGATCTGACTCCATGTTTCACAAGGCTGATTTATTATTTTATGACATATATTACATTAAAACTATACTAAAATAACAGAAGAAAGGATTTCATCAGAAGGCTGGCTAAGAATAGAATAGGAAAGAATGATAACAAAGGTTTGTGTCTCGGACAGAGAGTCTGAGCCTGCTGGCCTGTGATTGGCCATTAATTAGAAACAACCACATGAGACCAATCCCAGATGCACCTGTTGCATTCCACAGCAGCAGATAATCAATGTTTGCATTTTGTTCCTGAGGCCTCCGAGCTTCTCAGGAGGAAAAATCCTAAGGAAAGGATTTTCCATAAAAGTTGTCTGCGACCCTGCTGTTGTGATGATCCTGTGAAATGTGCTCCTGCAGCATCTCATCCCCTCAGCCATGACTGGAGAAATTCACCTGAGCATTGCGAATTTGGGGCAGATTTTAGAACCTTGGAAAAGCTCTCTCAGACCACCGAGTCCAGCCATCCCTCAGCACTGCCCCATGTCCCCAAGTGCCACCTCCACATGGCTTTAAATCCCTCCAGGATGGGGACTCACTGATATTTTCTGTGGGGAAATTCCCAACTTGCACCTTCCCTGGTGCAGCCTGAGGCCGTTCCTGTCGCTCCCTGCGGGAGAAGCCCCCATTTAAGCCGTGATGTCCCCATGCCCCCCTCCCTGTCCCTGTGTGACCCCTCTGTTCCCACAGGGCTACCGGCAGAAGGATTATTTCATTGCCACGCAGGGCCCCCTCCCTCACACGGTGGAGGATTTCTGGAGGATGGTGTGGGAGTGGAAGTGCCACACCATCGTGATGCTCACCGAGGTGCAGGAGAGGGAGCAGGTACGTGGGAAATGGGAACTGGGCTTGGGCAGAGCTCTCAGGGCCTGGCACAAAGCTCACACAGTGTGCAGGCCGTGAGATGGGAAATGCTGACTGAGAGATGCCATGGAATTGGACAGGCGTTGTTGAGGGAGAAATGGAAATACAAACAAGTCTCAAAGGGTGGCCTTGCAAATAAGAGTGGGTACTTTGGAGAAATAGAACCATGGAAGATGCATTGGAATAGGAGCCACTGTCATAGCTGAGATGGAGACAATACAAAGCAACACACTCCATTTTCAGAAGGGTTCAAACCGCATTTATTCTAGCATTTTTATTCTAGCATTTTTATTCTAGCAAACTGTTTTTATTCTGGCATGCATGCTTTTTATACATTCTTACAAAACTCCTAAAATTACACTTTACTCATTGGTCAGGAAAGGTAAACAAAGTGCTCATTGGAACAGAGTTACAGGTTTCTCTTATTTATCCTTCTTTCTTTCTTTCTTGGTTTCTGTGTCAACACCCTTGGTAGGAAATTCTTTCAGGGTAAACATGGATCAAACTTCTCTCTGGCTGACAGAAGTTGCTGTAAAACCTCTTCCACAAGAAGGGTAATTTTAGAATGACTTTAAGGCATTTACAGCATGGTGTGGCAAAAGCTGATAGGCCAAGAAACCCTTATAATGTATTCTAATTAGGAAACACCTTCTGATTGTGATAACATGAATTATAACATCTGTATTATCTCACCCTTCACACAAGACTGAAAATGGAATACAAGTTTTTAAAAGACCTCTCTGTTGCCCCATGTGTGAGGCAGGAAAGGGCCTGATCTGACTTGTGCCCACCCTGCAGCCTCACATTTCCCCTTCCCACCTGCAAACCACGAGCATCAGTACTGGAGAAATTATTTATTTTTTGCCTAAAAATTCCAGCAATCTGAATTTTTTTGGGCTTTTCCTCAAATGAGTACTTGCTTCACTCATTGGTGTGAGGCAGTGTTGTTGTTTTTTCTGGAATTGTCAAGAAACACAAAAAAGCTGCAGAATATTGTGATTTTTGAAAGCTTCCACTTTGCATCAAGGGATGTCTGATATGAGACAGAGTTTTGGGATTTGGGAATAAACTTTTGTGGAAACTTATATCCCATTTTTCCCAAGAAAAGCTCCCATTGCTCATTCTGAGCCTTGATTAAAATACAAGAATTAATTCATTATTTGATTTAAATATGAGAATTAGTTCATTAATTACTTACAGAGTCCTGAGCTGCAGCTTGAAAATTCTGGGTTCAACAAGGGTGTTGTGAAAAGTTTTTTTTTTCTTGGTGGTTTTAGGAGTTTTTTAACAGCATTACCTTGCTTTCAGGAATTCCATTTATTATTCTACTCTGTTTTAAAGCAGTATTTGCTATCTGGGCCTCCTGAGCCTTTTTCATCAAGATGGTTTCTGCTCAAGAAATATTTTATCACTGCATTCTTATTGTTTAGAACGCACTTACTATGCTGGATGTCACTTTTTATGGCAGAGATTCATGCCAATGTAGATAACTGGGGGAAATAAATGAAGGAATATTTGCAATTTTCTGGGTTCTGCAGGAGAAATGCTGCCAGTACTGGCCATCAGAGGGCTCTGTGACTCACGGAGAGATCACGGTGGAAATCAAGAGTGACAGCCTGATGGATGCCATCAGTGTGAGGGACTTCCTGGTCACATATAATCCGGTAATTCTTTACAATTCCAGCGGGTTTTTGGGGTTTTTTTCCCCATCTGAAGGCATTTACAAATCTGGTTATGTATCTTGAATTCTGGGATTTCTGTCTAAATTTAAATGTGGTTAATCAAAAGCTGGCATTAAGAGGAAGCTTATATGAAGTAATTTTGCTTAAAGTCCCTGAAAATTCTGATCAGTGAAACAGGTGGTTGCAAAGAGGGGGGTGGGTTTTGGGGTTTTTTTAAACTGTTTTGTTGCTGCTGTTATCCCTAGATTTTTCTGCCATCTCCCACGTAGGTATCAAAGAAAATTTGATTCAAGATTTTTCACAAAATTTGGGTTTGGGTTGGAAGGGACCTTAAAACTCATCTCACTGGAGTGAGAGCCGGGACCCATCCCACCATCCCAGGTTATTCCAAGCCCTGTCCAGCCTGGCCTTGGGCACTGCCAGTGTATCCCAAGTCCTTCCCGGAGGAAACAGCTGTGCAAACCCAAGGAAAATTGGAGGGGGAAATTTTCAGTGGGCGAGGGATTTAGAAACAGAATCATGGAATATCCCTGGGAATAAAATCACCAAGGTCCGTAATATGGTGCGGACCAGGCCGCAAATTGTGCCGTGCAGAATGGCTGCTGCAGGTGTTCCAGGCAGGAACTGTGTGTGTGTGTGTTTGCCCCTGGGAGTGACGAGGGGCTGAAGGGTTTGTCCTGCTGGCAGAGCAACCAGGAGAAGCAGAGCAGGCTGGTCAGGCAGTTCCACTTCCACGGGTGGCCGGAGATCGGGATTCCTGCCGAGGGGAAGGGCATGATCGACCTCATCGCAGCGGTGCAGAAGCAGCAGCAGCAGACAGGGAACCACCCCATCACTGTGCACTGCAGGTGAGCCCCTCTGCCCCCCAGCTGGCTGCTCTGTGCCCTGGCATGCCTCTGGTGGGGGGATTCTGGAAGTTTTGAATGAGTTAGAGACGGGACCTCTGAATTGTTTTAGATTGTTTGATTTATTTGTCTTATATTCTGCATAGGCAGGAAGGGTGAGTTAGGCTCACATCTTCACTGCATGGCTCAGAAGGTCACAAGACGTTTAGTTACAACACCTTTTTAAGGATTTATTGACCAATTAAATACTGCCAACAAGGATATTTGTGGTTTTGACCCAATCCTTAAATATTTAATTTTAGGGACCCATGCTACAGTGTGAGCTTTCTTAGCCAATCATGTTATGGCACACAAACCCACAGTGATGCATTCTAAACTCCTTGTTCAATTCTGTAATTAATTTTATTTTTTTTCTGTATCTTAAACACTAAAACTCTAAACTTCCTTTTACTTGGTTTAAGATGTCTCTGCTTTAAACTGTAAATCCTCATTCTCGCTTCCAGCACCTGAGTTTGGAAGCCTTTTCCAAGGTCTTGGATCAAATCCTGTGTTTAATCCTAAGCTTTAGCTTACAGGCCCAAAGGTCTGAGAGCTCCTTGCATTTTGGATTCCGATGCTCTTTTCCCATTTTATCCCACTTCATGCCAAAAAATTATGTTTTCATTGCAGTGCTGGAGCAGGGAGAACGGGAACCTTCATAGCCCTGAGCAACATCCTGGAGCGGGTCAAGGCTGAGGGGCTGCTGGACGTGTTCCAGGCTGTGAAGAGCCTGAGGCTGCAGAGGCCACACATGGTGCAAACACTGGTATGGGCTTGGCCAGGCCTTGGGAAGGGAGCTCTGGGTGCAAATGTTCCCAGGAAAGGAGAATAAAAGGGATTTTTGCAGGTTGGCATAAATGATGCACGGTGGATGTGGGTGTACAAGGCATAACCAGGGTTTTACAGGAGGTTTTAGAGCATGTCTAAAAATACAATTTGGTTAAATATTCTCTGGTTTTTAGGAACTTGAGGTGGTTAAATGAAATATATTTTGAGTGTTGCAGGTGATAAAATATAGTAAGTAAATGGCTTTCAAGCTATTTATCAGTTGTTCTTTCATACCTTAAATTGTCTGGGCATCAATTGGAATCACGGAATGGTTTTGGCTGGAAGGGACCTTAAAGCCCATCCCATTCCCACCCTGGCCATGGCAGGGACACCTCCCACCATCCCAGGCTGCTCCAAGCCCCATCCAGCCTGGCCTTGGACACTCCCAGGGATGTGGAAATCTTTGGAAATGTCTCTGACTTGTTTAAAACCTTTAAAGTTTTCCTTCAAGTCATCTACAGCTACTCTTTGAAGCTTAGTCCAGATGCTTTTCCCTATTGAGTAAACATAAAGTTTTTTGAAACTTAAATTGAAAATACATAAAAATATTCATATTTTTGATTTCTCTAGCAGCTTCCATTCAGCATTTGAAACCTCTTATAAACAACTACCTCAAGCCCTTTTTCCAGGAGGGTGTTTTCTCCATCCCACAGACAGGAAGAACAGGGATGAAGAAATGGAATTGGATTATCCATGCTGGGGCTGAGACAGGGATGGGTGGGATATTGGGAAGGAATTCCTCCCTGAGAGGGTGGGGAGGGGCTGGGATGGAATTCCCAGAGGATCTGTGGAGTTTCCTTCCCCAGCTGCTGAAGGAAAGCGATGCTTTATCAATAATCTAAATCTGGGTTTTCCCACATCCCCCACTGGTTCTGTCAGGCAGGTATCCAGAATGAGAAGAACTGATTTGAAATTAATTCTTAGGCTCTGGAATGAGCATGATTGTCATGTTTTATATTATTTGCTAAAGAAATCCTGCCCTGGGAGGGTGCTGGGATTTGAGGTCCTTTCCAGCACAAACCATCCTGGGATTTGCTGATTCCCTGATGATCCATGGGCAGGGCTCAGGAGTTGCTGCTGTGGGTTTAAATCAAAAGCCAGGCCTAAGAATTGACTCAGTTTAGGAACCAAGAAGCTCAAGAAGACATTTGAAGCAAAGAGCAAGGATCAGCCTGTGTCTGACCACAGAAAATAAACCTTTGGTTTCATTTAAAATAATCACCAGAAATCAGAGCAGACCAGCCCTCAGTTACTATCCTCAGTTAGGATATATTGAATTTACCACTGGCATTTGCAGAATTCAGGTTTTTTAGTGTAACCAAAAGCACATTTTGATCTCCTTTCCTTGTTTTCCAGGAACAGTATGAATTCTGCTACAGAGTGGTACAAGATTTCATCGACATCTTTTCAGATTATGCTAATTTCAAATGAGAATTCTGCCTTATTTTTTAATTTGTCTGTATAAATAGTTGTATATTATGTTAATTTATTCTTTGTCACTTGGATTGTTGACTGAACTGTAAATACAACGTTGTGCTGGCTCTAAAAGTTGCATTTGCTGTATAAAGTTGTTTCTTAAATATAAATATCTTCTAAAGTAAAGTATATTGTTCCTATATTGTATAGCACTGTAAGATGGGATAGAAATCTTTATTCTAAATAACAAAAAATTAATTTTTGGTTTTTTTTTTCTTTGAATTTTGCCACTCATAAATATTTATCAACAAAGTTCTCTCCCAATTCTTGAATTTTGTGACAGGTGATTTAGAGTTCATCCTAAAAAAAAAAGTGAATTTGGGTGCACATATTTAAACATATTGTGTCCACCAGGAAAATATGTCTACCATGAAAATAGATATTTATTTTTCTAGGCTGTTTTTAAGAGCCTCTAGGTTTTGTTGGATTTTGAGTCTTACTGTCCATAGCAAAAAATCAGTAGAAATACAGATTTGAATTTTTGAATGAACAGAATCTTCAAAGCCCTGCTCTTTTTTTTTTTTTTTTCCAAATAATGTTTAAGTCGACTTAGAAAGGCAATAATGTGATTTTTAGAACATTTTGCTTATTTGAAAAGTATATTTTGCAGCACCTGAACTTGTCTACTTGAAGAGAAAGGCCAGAAATGAAGTTTAAAGCATCTCTTCAATATAAACACCTGCATAATTTCCCACTTCTTTAAAATAAGAGATGAACTCTTATTCCTTGATTTGACTCAGCAGGATAATTAAGAGGTAAAAATTGAAAAAAAAAAATTTTATGAACAGTTTAATGCCAGAAACATTGAGTACTGTAGCAGAAGTTCCTCCAGGTTGTTACCCTCCCAGAAATGTTATCAAAAAAGGACTTTCTTAAAGAGGTTTAGAGTTGTGTACAGAGATATATTTTTATTGAAAGTACTACTGAGAATAGAATTGGTGACAGATAATATAATTTATTACAGCCCTGGCCAGGGGCTGGAAAATCCCCAAAATCACAGGGCACCCAAATATTGAATAATTATGAGAATTGAAAATTATTGAAAATAATGAAATCTCCTCGCCCCCTGGAGCAATGCAAGGGATGGGAAGGTGTCCCTGGGTCTCCTTCCATTCCAGCCTGGCTGGAAAAGGTTTGGGATGGGAATTCCTGAGCCCCCAATCCCCACAGTGCCATTCTCCAGCAGGAATTTGAGGCAAATTCTCCCAGTTTGGGTTCATTTGGGATTTGGGGAATTTTCAGGAATTTTTTGGGATTTTTTGGGCTTTTTTTGATGATTTTTGGGCGTTTTTTGCGGATTTTTCGGGGATTTTTGGGTGCGTTTTCAGTCCAATTTCACACGAGTGCAGCGACTTCTCCAGCAGGAATTTGAGGCAAATTCTCCCAGTTTTGGTTCATTTGAGATTTGGGGAATTTTCAGGAATTTTTTAGGAATTTTTTGGGATTTTTTGGGGAATTTTTGGGAATTTTTCTGTCATTTTTTGGGAATTTTTGGTGCAATTTTAGGCCCAAGTTCACGCGCTGCCACAGGAGAAGCGAATTCCTTGGCTGTTGGCTGTTCCTGTCTTCCCATGGCTGCACTCCTGTGTTTATTTGTACAGTAAATTATGCACTTCAGAAACGAGATTGGTTAAAGATTAAACCTCACTCGTGAGTCTCTGTGAGAAGAAACACTCAAGGCTGGGTTCTGAAAGTGGAGCTGAGGAAGGGCATGTTGCTGAAATTCCATCCAAATGGAAAGAGCCAGAAGAAATTCAGCCTGGAAATGATACAAGGGGGTTCAGTCTCATTTATAGTACAGCAAGACTCCCCGAGGCTGGAGAAAAATGCAAAGGAATTCCCATTTTCTGATCCTCGTGTCAGGATCTTTCCAACCATTTAGCCCACATTTGAATAATAATTTGTAGGAATTTGGGGTCCCTGAGGTAAAAACTTGGGATGAGTTGTGCATGAAGTCAATCTCAGTGCAGGGAGACTCCAAAAGGTTGGAAAATAATGCAAAGAATTCCCATTTTATGATCCTGATGTCAGGATCTTTCCAACCATTTAGCCAGCATTTGAATAAAAATAATAATACTTTGTCTATTAGGCAGATTTTGTGGATCCCTGAAGTAAAAAGTGAGGTTGTCTCATGAGGTCAGTCTCAGTGCAGGGAGACTCTGAAAAATTAGAAAATAATGCAAAGAATTCCCATTTTATGATCCTGATGTCAGGATCCTTCCAACCATTTAGCCAGCATTTGAGTAATGATAATAATAATAATGATAATAATTTGTCTGTTGGGCAGATTTGTGGGTCCCTGAGGTAAAAAGTGAGGTTGTCTCATGAGGTCAATCTCAGTGCAGGGAGACTCCAAAAAATTGGAAAATAATGCAAAGGAATTCCCATTGTATGATCCTGATGTCAGGATCTTTCCAACCATTTAGGAGGCATTTTAATAATAATAATACTACTAATAATAATTTGTCTGTTGGGCAGATTTGTGGGTCCCTTTGGTGAAAACTGGGGTTGTCTCCTGAAGTCAGTCTCAGTGCAGGGAGATCCAAAAGGTTGGAGGAGAAAGGAATTCCCATGTTTTGATCCTGATGGCAGGATCTCTCTGACCCTTTAGCCTTTGAACAATAATAATTTGTGTGTTGGGCAGATTTGGGGGGTCCCTGAGGTAAAACCTCCGTGTGTTGGCCACGAGGTCGATGTTGGTGCAGCAGGGATGGGCTGTGAGGGTGTGGGGGTCCCACAGGAGCTGCACAACTCCCACGGGGTTCCCTAAAGGCTCCTTCCAACCAGGAGAGGATGGAGTTCAGCTGGAACACCAAATCCTCGGTGGGTACTCGGGTTTTAGTTGATAACCAGATTGAGAAATGCCTAAAACAGAACTCAGAGCTCCCAGCTGTAGCTCCATGAAGGTTTTTGTGGAATTTGAGGAGCTCCCTTTGCAGTGTTACCGCTGGCCGGAGCTCTGGGGAGGGCCTGGGTGGATTGGAATTTTCCTTTGACTCTCCGTCTGCTGCGTGGAATTCCTTCAAAAGGCCAAATAGTGGGATTGGAAGTGTCCTTCTGATCTGTGTGTGCTTTTGGTCACTGTGTGACCTGGACTGTTCATGTGTTCAGAAGGTCCCAGCTCAGCGTTGGGGCGTTCGCTTCCCGACGCCCTCACGCCGCCATCCATGGGCGCCATGGGCTCCTGTGCCCAAAGCAATCCCTGAGAGTGCTTGGCTGACCTGGGCCTTAATGAAGAATGCATACTGTAATTAGCAGTGTTTTTTAGGCTATTTTTATGTATTTTTTTAAACTTTTAAAATGAGCCTGACCAGCCCGTGTTCAGTCTTTTGGAATGTTTGCGTTTCCCTCGTCCCATTTTTTCATGTAAAGTTACCGGAACTTTTCTGTATAACCAAAATGTATTTAATTTGTCAAATCTTTATAATATATGTATGTATTATACAGTTTCAGCTCTTATTATTTTCTTTTCTTACGTTTCTAATTTGATCCTGCTGTGTTTTTAATGCCGGTGAATGTGGCTGAATTATTTGTATATGCAAATTGCAAGATCTAATACATTCTGATGCAAGAACAAAGCTTCCTTTTTATTCTCCACCTGCATTATTTCCTTTAAATCTTTTAATTTCATTCCTGTGTTGTGTGTTCATTTGAACTAAGCATTCTAAAAGAGTTGAAATCCATTATCTAGATAAGTAACTTTTCAGTGCTTATCTGCAGCTGTTTGGGAGTAAAATTCTGATTTATTTTGGGACTGAACATTGTGCATATAAAGGGTGCAGAAACTCATGGAAGCAGTTGGAATCCAGGTCTTCCCAAACTGTCTGGATAAGTAAGATCTGATTAAATAAATATAGTAAAATTAAGTAAATATTTATATTAAGTAAAATAATCCTGTGGTAAACTATGGTGTTATACCAAGATAAAAATAGGATCTAAGCTTCCAGCTGTGTCACCAATCATGAATTGAAAGTTCACTCTAATTAACAGCAATTTCTTAATTCATTTTGACAAGTTTTAAGCTAAAATTAACCCAGAAGTCCCCTCTGTTTGTTGGGGGGAGGTTTGTGTAAGGGTTCCATGCTAATGTCAAATCAAATAGGATTTCATGCAGCCTGATTTCTGTTTGACCCTGTTCTGCTCCACCCCACACCTCCCATTTGGGAGATGCCTCTTCAGGGCAGGTAATTTGAGGATTTATTTTCCCCCACAGTTGCTGGGAAGAACTTTTCTGCATGTCCTTCCTGGGCATTGTTCTGACATTGGCAGGATGAGAGGAAATGGCCTCAAATTGTGCCACAGGAGATTTGGAAATTAAAATTCCTTCATGGAAAGGGTTTGAAAGCATTGGGAAAATGCCTGGGGCAGTGGTGGAGCCCCATCCTTGGAAGTGTTCAAAAATGTGTGGATGTGGCGTGGAGGACATGGGTTAGTGGTGAACTGGTTGGTGGTTGGATTTGATCTTTTCCAAACTTAACCAATCTGATTCTAATTTGCCATTGCATGTAAAAGCTTTTAAATTTTTAAATTATCCCAGAGGAGATGATAAAATATTTTATGTGATTGGGTGATGTACTTTTGTGCAGCTTGGAGGTAACTGGGAGGTAACTGTGTGTGAGGACAGGCAGGTGTGCTCTCAGAAAACAGAAGAATTATCAGTTATTAATTAATTGTTAGTTAATTTAAATAAATAGTGATAATTGTAACTGTTGATCACACAGCAAACGTGGATATTTCTGTACTCTATTGGTGATACAGTTGGTTTTTTCCTGCTTTTAAACATTACAAAAAAGACAACATAAAGACCTTCTGATTCCTTATCTGGTTCTGTTTTTAGAAACTCAGCTTTTAGGGAAAAAATGCAATTTAATTGTAAACTGTCCACGAAATAAATTTAGTTTAATGGGATACTTAAACAGTATAAACGAAGGCAGATCACAGAGGCGTTTGCTCTGCACAAATGTCAAGCTCTGTTTTGCGTGATGCAGAAATTGTTGAATTGAGAATTTTCCAGGCCACTGAACTTCTTGGGGAGTGTTCTTCATCTGAGGAATTAAAGGATTAGGATGTAATTTAGATCTTGTGGTGAGAGCTTCCTTCTAATGGCTTTTATCCATGTTCTGGGCTGCTTTGCACAGAGGAGGGGAATTAGTCATTAATCGAGTTGACACTTTGCCAAGGAAATTCTTTGTGCAAAGAATCCTTTTCACCTTTTCACCTGTTTCCATTCATGAGAAACAACTCCAGCATTTTCCTGAATTTTCCAGAATTTTCCAACTATCCATAAACATGGAACAGATTATCCAAGCTGGGACTTTTCACCAGCTGGGTGGACAAAAAGCAAGGAAAACTCTCCCAGGTGGGAAGAGCTTGAGGAGGAATTGTGGATCGTGGGATTCTCCAGTTGAGGTTTTTACAGAAATTTTGTCCTTCCAAAACCTGAAGGGAAATGATGGAAAAGATGGAGAGGGAATGTTTATGAGAGCATGGAGTGCCAGAGGTAAATGGGATATTGGGAATTAGGAATTGTTCCCTGGGAGGGTGGGCAGGGCAGAACCTGTCAAAATCACGTTCTGTGCATGAATAGCAGCACTCCAAAATTCCTGGGTGCAACAATGTGCCAGTGAAATAAATTATGGCTTTAAGAGAGAGTTGTTGCAAAACTTTAAAATTTCAGGCTTCTCATCCCTGGCCTTGGCTCTACACAATGGGAATAGCCTGAATATTTATTTATTTATTTATTTTATACCCTGCAAAAGCCCTAATTTAGGCAGAGCTTTCACCAGAATTTGTGCTTTTTAAAATAAAAACCGCAGCACAAATCTGTAACTGAGCTTCATTCAGTGCTCCCACACCCCCTGTTCAACACTTGAATAAATAACTCTGTATGAGGATCCTGATGTGAGAAATTCAAATGCTGATTTTTTAATTCTCTGTCAAGGACTTTCAAGCACTGACTTTAATTTTCTCCTCATTTTTGGCAGTTGGCAGTTTTACTTCATGCTGGATTCAGGTGTATTTATCTAAATGAAATGTTTCCAAATTAACCTACCAGCTAATTTAAACCTTGGAGAAAATGTCTTTTTTGGATTTTTTTTTTCCCTCCTGTAAATCTGCTTTGGTAAATATTTGTACAGATGCTGCTCTTGGAGACATTGAAAACCTTTGTTATAATTTGTGTTTTCCTCTAAATATTGCACATCACAAAAGCTGTGGCACCACTGTAAATCATGGCAGAAAATACAATTATTGCCACAGTGCAGGTGTGTTTATTTATTTGTGCCGCTTGATCGCAGGTGGGCTGGCAGAGACTGCAATAAATTCAATTTCCAAGAGTTTTTCTGCTAGAAATTGTTTTTAGATACATCATGCAGGACTCCCAGGAAGGATTTTTTAATACCTGTTAATTAGCAATGATACCCAATTGGATACCAAATAGAATCCTGATTTTGGTATGGTTTATGTCTAAATTAAAGATTGTCCAGTAGTACACAGGTATTGTAAAATATTTTAATTGTAGTAGTAGTAGTAGTAGTAGTAATAATAATAATAATAATAATAATAATAATAATAATAATAATAATAATAATAATAATAATAATAATAATAATAATATCTGAGCTAAATGAAAGGCCCACCAAAACTTATGAAATAAACTTCAAAGCCATTTATTTGAAAAAAATTACATTTAAAAAGCTGCTTACATCTGACTGTATCACATCTAAAGTCATCACAGCACATAAAATAGTCTTTGAGGCAAGCTAGAAAATAAAACAGGAGTAAAATCAAAAGTTCTGCTTTGTAAAAGATCTGAATAGTAGAATTTTATCCCCTGAAGCACAAAAGGCTGGGTGACCTTGTCCTGTATCCCCTTCCCAAGCATCAAACTTGGAATGAAGGTCACATTTCAGATCTCAATAATGCATTGTTGTTGTTGTTGTTATTATTAATATTGTTTTTCTTCTGTCTTCAATCACAGAACAACACAGTGTTCATGTTGATTCTTGGCCTCACAGGTCCTCAAATTCCAGTCTCAGTAATGAATTCCTGTTTGGGAGCAGAGATGGGGATCAGCTTTATATCTAAATGAAGGTAACTAATTTGTGGATTAAAATGGACTTAAAATACTAATTTAACTTTTATTTCTGCTCACTTGCTCCCTTTATTCTTCTCCCCCTCACCTTTGTGATTAATAGTATTTTTTGTGGCTAGTACTATTTCAATCTGATCAAACAGATGCTGAAATCACTTTATAAAGCTTAAGTGAAGCTGAATTGATATAAAGTGAATCTGGGTGTGTTTTATTGATTTGGGGAGGTGCAGATTTGGGACCACTGAGCTCCTTGCAAGTCCCCCTCCCTCAGAGAGGGGCTCGATAGGGCTGGACAGGTTCAGGTTTGGGAACAGGTTCAGGTTCAGATACAGGCACAAGTTCAAGTGTAGGTTCAGACACAGATCTAGATAAAGGTTCAGGTACAGGTTCATGTGCAGGTTCATGTGCAGCTATGGACAAAGATTCAGGTACAGACACAGGTATCACCACAGGTATTTTTTTGGGTACAGGTGTAGGGACAGGTTCATATACAGACTCAGGCACAGGTACAGCACAGGTTCAGGTATAGATTCATGTACAGGTATAGATACAGGTGCAGGTACAAGAACAGGTTTGTGTACTGGTTCATGTACAGGTACAGGTTCAAATTCAGGTACAGGTTCAGATTCAGGTGTGGTCAGAGGTACAGGTAGAAGTTCATGTACAGATACAAGCAGAGGTACAAGCACAGGCTTTGTCATTGGTACAGGTTCAGGAAAATGTTCAGGTTGGGGCACAGATACAGCTCCAGGCACAGGTACAGATCGGGCACAGGTTCAGGACGGGGCACAGGTACAAGCGCAAGTTCAGGAGGGGACATAGGTACA